GGTCTTAATCATGCCATTATGCCATCTCGTCGCAATTCGAGGGGAAGCAACCGGATATATTGTTTATTAAAATTGTGATATGTATCACTTGTCTCCCCTGCCAAGAACATTGATTTTTTTCCTCACTGAGAACTCATTATTCGCAAGATTAGAAATAACAAAGATGCAAACTAAATTAAAGTTACTACCAGTACCAGTATGGGTGGTCGCCATAGCCACCTAAATTTAATCGTCATATGTTATTGAAAAGACTGTCGCAGAGTTTGAAACAGACACAGCCCCATAAAGCCACCCTGCCTCCTAAAACAAAATGGTTTAGTTAGAGTAAAACCACACAGTAACACTAGCTTATGTATTCATAGAAACAGTATTATAGTTAAGCAATTAGTTCCAGTAATCCAAAAGTCGATTTCGGAAGACGTGGACATGCACTTTGAAAAATGTACGCAATTATAACGATCGCGTAAAGATAAAATAGTATTTTTTTTTACAGAAACCAAGATTCCCAAAGCTACATTAATAGGATTACAATTTTGAAACACACAATGTTGGACAAGAAAAAACAAAATCAAATCTGATCAGTAGCCTATACATGTTTAATATTCTTCTGTTTACAATGAACGAATTCAAAGAGTCAACATGTCATAATAAAAGAAACTGAAGTTCATCTTCTGAAACAATAACTGCATACAGAAAAACAGACGTGCTTTGACCTCTGCGCTCTTGACCTTTTGTCCTTTTGGCTCTCAGTTTCATCACTTTTGGCCACCTCTTGAGTCCTGTATATTTCATGACTCAACACCTTTCTGCTCTCGAATCACATCTGCAAGACACTTGAATCCCTGCAATAAATCCCTGCTCATTTATATTATGCATGTGATTGTAAGCCTACTTGTGTGTGTATGTGTGTGCACGTGTGTACGTGTGTGTGTTTGTATATGTGTGTGTGTGTGTGTATCTGTGTGTGTGTGTGAGTGCGTGTGTGTGTGTGTGTGTGCGCGCGCGCGTGTGTGTGTGTGTGTGTGTGTGTGTGTGTGTGTGTGTGTACTCGTGGTGTAACACCAAACCAATGTGCCAGGATCTGGACAATAAAGATGTATCTTATCTTATCTTATCTTATCTTATCTTATAAACGTTTTACGTATGATATACACATTTCATAGTTCACCTCTGCCAATGAATATACACTTGTCTTAAAGTAAATTAACTGGTATAGGACTAATTCTTACTCCACACAAGAGTCACATAAACTGTATGAAAGTTTAACAAAAAACTTCGAACTAAAAGGTAGTTACGTCCCCTGTGTAGACGGAAAGTCAGTAGTTACGTCCCCTGTGTAGACGGAAAGTCAGTTTTGAGAATTGACTTTTAAAAAGCTACGCACAAGCACACGCACATAAAGAAACGCACGCATAAACACTAACACACACACACACACACACACACACACACACACACACACACACACACACACACACCCGTGCAAGATTCTGACCTTCTCAATATCCTCCTCTGGGACATTTGAGTAGGAGGCTCGGATCCCAGAACTTTTTCCTCCTCCATGGAAAAAATAATGACCAGCCATTACAGACAAGCCTCTGTCTCTGAGAATGTTTATAAAGTCAGAGGTAATGTCCATATCAGCCACTTTGAACCAGAAGAACAGGCCGCCTTGAGGTGTGGTCCACGTGCAAAGCCCTATAGAAAGTTAAAAAAAAAGAAAAAAGAAACATATTATATAAATATGTGGCTTAGTGGTTATTGAGTTCCCAACTCGTAAAAATGTCAAGCAAGTGTTGGTGACATGGCATTTAGATGGATGGTGACTGGGGTGTGTCCTTGACCAAGACTCGATTACCCTGAATAAATAAAACCAACCAAAACAAGGAGTTGCACACTGGCAACAAGCAAAGGCGGTGTTTGTTGTCTGCTTTGGCGTAATTCTGTGTATATGGCGTACTTTTAACGGAAATATGTGAGTTAAGATGTGTATGAATATTATGCATAAGTATGTATCACATAAAATGTTTGCCATTTTAACCTACTTTTCTCACAGGGATCAATAAACTGTGATTTAGGTTGTGGGTTGGTTTGAGTTTTGTTTTTGTTTGTTTTTTTTGGTCATTTATCTCATATTATAATACATTCAATTCTCAGACATATTTCATTTCTAAGCAGCCCTACTTCCCATAAGTCTAGTTCTCTCTCCCCAGAAAACACACCTACACCCCCCCCCCCTCCATACTCACACAAACATACACACTACGTGGGCGGTGTGTGTGTATATATAGATATGTGTGTGTGTGTGTATGTTTGTGTGTGTGTGTGTGTGTGTGTGTGTGTGTGTGTGTGTGTGTGCGTGCGTGCGCGCATGTGTATGTGTGTGCACGCGCCGAGCTCTTACCAGTGAGGTGTTTCTGTGCTGCTTCTTTCATTATCATAGCCCGCTTCTTGTACATCTCGGCAACCTGCCCCATCTGCTTCAGGAAGGTCTCATGACCCCAGTGGCTCAACAGTTGATACAGTACCACCTGGGGGGAGGGGGGGTAAATAGATTATAATTTAATATTATCTTTCAAAATTAATAAGAACTTGAACTATGTTGTGTAGAACTGAAAAACGTATCCTTGATAATAATAATACTACTAATAATAATAAAAATAAAATTTTTAATAAAAATAGTAATAATAATAAACAGTAATAGTTATACTAATAGCTACAATAATGATAATAAAAAAAATAATTATCAGAAAAATAATACTGATAATAATGAGTATGATGATAATAATAATAATAATAATAATGATGATGATGATGATGATGATGATGATGATTTTTTTTTGGTTTCCTTAATGAGCCTGACAGACTTCACGAAGAAATCTTCGAGCGAGAGCGAGGCTCTTTTTCGGCTCCATTGTCAATATTATGCTTAGCGGCACCTCCACTCGTCCAAATAACTCCATTGGAATTGCCATTGTTCCTAGACATTCAAACATATGTTTGATTTCCTCCTTTTCATGGCTGCATCTTCGGCAACATGGGCTGAGCTCCTCATTACAAAGTTCTTATACCATCTTAAACTCCAATGATGGTCCGACCGCAGTCTCGCTAGCTCACCCTGGTCCCAGCGACATGTGATAGATTTTTGTTCCCGCTTATAGGAGTACCCAGAATACACATCTTCCAGGTGCTGGTACTTAGTTCTACATGGTGGGTCTTTGATTTCTCTCTTGATTATTGGAAAGACTCCTCTGTGTGTCGTTGGTCGTCTGTCTCCTTTGATCTCTCTGGCTTCATTAGCAGCTTGGTCTGCTGCCTCATTTCGTTCTATTCCAACATGGCTTGGAATCCACTGACTTTTTATTGTGGCTCTGGCTTCACAGAGCTTGCAGCGCAAAGCATTCATGTCCGAGCTGTTGCCTAGCAGCCCCTTGCAGAGGGACTGACTGTCAGTCAAGATCAGCACATTGGTCCTACTGGGACAATTGTCGGCAATCCATTGAGCAGCAGACATCATTGCCTGGCATTCCTCGTCATAAGATGATGTAAGGAATGCACCTTTAGTTTTAATAATTTATGTTCGTGGTGGTTCATCATTTATTATCACTACTGCTGCTGCTCCACCTTCGCGGTATCCTGCGACTGCAGATCCATCGGTGAAAATTGTCACATCCGCACCAACCTCTTTGATCACATCCTCAGCTGCTTCACATGACTTTACAGGATCATCACCTTTTCCTTTTACTCCTTTCAGTACTGTCCGAATTTCAATTTCGCCATGGGTCTCCCATGGACAAGCTCTCTCCAGATTGATCGTCCATCGATTCTCTGCTTCAGGGGGGAGGTGGTCTGCTAGATCGGTGCTTATCCGAAACCACCTTTTCCTGCGGTTTTTAGGCTTGACTTCTTGATCAAGGGCTTTCTTTCTAGGATGGTTGTCTGGTAATCTCTTAGCCATCTCTATAGATTTGAGGCATGTTCTTTTTGTATAGGTGGTGTAGTGTTCAGTTCTGGTCTCATAGCGCAGCACTTCTGTTGGCGTTGTTTTCAGCTGACCTGATACAAGTCGGAGGGCTTTGTTTTGTATTCTGTTCAGGGCCTTTGCACTAGTCTCACTCAGCCAAGGCTGCCACGCTGGGGCAGCATAATCCAACTTACTTTTCACAAACATCTGATATATTTTCTTGAGCGACTCCTTACCCCAGCCCCATTTTGAGTTGCTGACAGCACCGCTAACCTTCATTTTAGAGGTTGCACTTTTGGACACCTCCTCAATGTGCTTGTTGAAGGTTAGCTGTCTATCCAGGTAGACGCCCAGCAGACGTGGAGTGGGGTTGAATGGTATCTTTTTCCCTTCGATCTGAATAATTAGTTGCCACGTTGCCTCCTTCACCCATGTTGAGAAGAAGCACACTTCACTATTGGTTGCATTCAAGGTAAGCTTCCATTCATTGCTCCATTTCACAACCATATCCACAATCAACTGTGTCGTTTCATTTGCCTTTGCTCTCTTTGCGTGACTGGCCAGTATTGTGCAGTCATCAGCGAACATTGAGTAGATCAGCTTGGCGGAGGTTAGTTGTTGTGAGTCAGGGTTTGGGAGGGATTCTGCCAGGTTGTTTATGAAGAAAATAAACAGCAGCGGTGATAGCTCAGGTCCTTGGGGAAGCCCTTGCTTGAAATTCAGGCTCTTGCTTGTTTCTCCATTCAGGCGAACACGGGCTTGTCTGTTTCTCAGGAAACCATGGATCCATCTGATTGCACGCAACAGAACTCCCTTGTCAGCCATTGACAGTAATAGTCTTTCACGCCAAACCGTATCATATGCCTTGGAGTAGTCCAGCAGGACTAGGACTGATCGATAGATTGTTGGCTTTTGTTGAAAACCATGCTCAATTCCTTGACAGATTCTGATGATCTGGTCCGTGCTGCTATGACCTTGGCGAAAGCCTGCCTGAATATCTGCAATCCATTCATTCTTCTCTGACAGGTAGTAGATTCTTTCAGCGTGCATCCTTTCTATAACTTTCACGACACAGGATGTCAAACTAATGGGTCGAAAGGATGTCATATCACTAGGTGACTTACCAGCTTTCAAGAGAGGAATGATAAGTGCCTTACGCCAGTCTTGTGGGCACGCTGCTTGGTTAAGCGACAGATAACATATGCTGAGCAATTCTTTCAATGCGAGTGGGCCAAGCTCTTTTAGGAAAGATGTTGGTATATCATCAGGTCCTGGAGCACTTCTTCTCTTCATTTGTGTTATGGCACGCTCCACCTCTTTCATAATGAAGTCTGGGTATGATTGCTGTTCATCTTCGCATCGTCATACAGTAGGCGCTTCAATCGGAGTTCGTTTCTTCTGCGCTCCTCTTTGGTAAATTGGAGCTTACTGATTTTTGCGTAGAGCTGGGCAAAAAGCTCAGCTTTCTTCTTTGCTGATGTTATCCTTTTCCCGTTGTGTTTCGGTACTTCGTTGGGAGAGTTCGTATCTGCTGATCCATTTAGAGACATGATAAAACTCCAAGCTTTCCTTTCGTCTAGATCATTTATCACGCCATTTGGGGAAGCTCTGATGATGATGATGATGATGATGATGATGATGATGGTGATGATGATGATGATGATGATGAAGATGATGATGATGATGATGATGATGATGATGTTGTGATGATGATGATGATGATGATGATGATGATAATGATAATGATAACAACAGCAACAACAACAAAAATAATAATAATAATAATAATAATAATAATAATAATAATAATAATAATAATAATAATAATAATAATAATGATAATAATAATAATATTAATAATGATAATTTGAAAAAAATAATAATAGTAATATAATATTGATAATAGTAAAAACAATATTACTACTACTACTAATTCTACTACTACTACTACTACTACTACTACTACTACTACTACTACTACTACTACTACTACTACTACTACTAGAGAAATAATTGTAATAATAGTAATTATGATAATAATAATAAACATAATAATAATAATAATAAACATAATAATAATAATAATAATAATAATAATAATAATAATAATAATAACAACAACAATAACAATAATGATAAAGTAATAGTAATAATAATTTAATAAAATAAAAATAATAATAATAATAATAATAATAATAATAATAATAATAATAATAATAATAATAATAACAATAATTACAATAATTACAATAACTAAAACAACAAATTGTATTCATATTACTCATAGTATTATCCACTGTCTACAACATGCTTAACGTGCTTTGCAACTACATAGTACTAATCATTACCTCCAGCAGACTGTAGAATACTCAGAAACATTCGCGGTTTCCTGGTAAACATAGTCCAGCGCAAGCTGCTTGTTGCACGAGCTTAAACACTAACAACCTGTCAAATTTATAATTCGGTGCCTGTAGCTGGACACCCTTTCCCACCCGTGAGAAGTTCGGAAATTTTATATGAAGTGCCTTTCCCAAGGACACAACGTCGAAACCCTAGCGGGATTCGAACCCACATTCTAACCGTTGAAAGTCCAAAAGGGTGACGACCTTTATCATTCGGTGAAATCAGTCGAATTTGTTGGAGAATTTTAGGCTTAACCTCTTTTATGTCCATATAAAAACACATTTCCATTTGAATTTTACAGAAAAACATTGATTAAAGGCACAAAATATGTCATTTTCCAGTTTTCAAAGACTCTTTAGATATTAGAGTTACCAAACCTTGACGGCCATTTTCTCGATAATTTTACCGCTGAAATCAGGCAAACTCACTTTCTTCGATCGAAGATATCTTGAGCTCTATTCAAGATAAAAGGATATTCATTCCTTTGGAAGCAAGGCAAATAAATTGGCATTGAGATGGTACCAACAACTTCACATGCCCTAAAATTAATGAGCGCCTGATTCCACCGTGTTGAGAAAAACAATATGTTTTACATCTGATAGTACCTGTGAGAAGATGTTGGCATGTAACGTGGAGTACTGAATGTTGTAGCAGATCTTGTCAATGATGCTTTTGGGACCCGAAGTCCAGCCCAGACGGTACCTGAATAATGAGGATGATGGTTATAATAGTAATCACAATAATAATAGCAATGTGATAATAACAACAATTATAATAATAATGATAATAATGATAATTCTGTTGTACATATCCATGCAAATGTAGGTTTGCGCTTTACTCATGGAAACAATAAGAAAGACTCAAATGTACTTTCAATAATGTTTAGTAATACGAAAATATTATTGCTTGAAAGACGAATTCACATGCTATAAATTATGTAGACATAATATCATGACGAACAAGTGGAGCTTGCTTAATCAACTAAATCTCAATAAGAAATAATCATGGCTTAATATCAAATTGATGACTTTACCAGTATATTATCCTTCTTCATGTTTGTGATAATTTATTATATATCTCTTTCCCCTCTCCTCTTTTTTTACCCCCCTCCCTCCCCCCCTCCTTCTCTCTCT